TGTCTCAGGCAATCCACTCACCTCAGCCTCCCAAAGGCGCGGGATGATTTTTTTTTTTTTAATTTATTGTAGAGATGAGGTCTAGCCAAGTTGCCTGAGCAGGTCTCGAACCCGCGGGCTCAGGCAATCCACTCAACCTCGGCCTTCTCTTCTCTTCAAATTTATTTGAAATACATTTTCTTAATCCTTTACCCTCGAAGTTGCTATAGGGATACTTTCAAGAACCAAATCATCAAAAGAACACTAGAGTGTAAATGTCATGGATTACCTTCTGGTAATTAAAACATTTTAGAAAATAAGAAATATTTTCATGTAGTTCAGACTAAAAAATTGATTTTTTGCTTTTATATATAATTACAAACAATTTCATATATATATGAAGTCAAGTTTCCTTTTTACCAGTCCTTCAGTCACCATTTCTGTTCCTTGCACACACTAATATGTTAGTTTCTTGTTTATCCTTCCAGTTGTTTTATGGACACACTAGTAAATACACACATAGTATATACAGTATTTCCCCCATCCTTTTTTTTGAACAACCACTTGGATATGTTTAAAATAAAACAGAACCACAAATTTTTGGTAAACAAAATTTAATACAACCATATAGTCAAGTAATAACGGTTAAAAGACATTTTATTAGATACAACTTTAAAAAAATTTATCTATGCAAGAAGTATATTTAAACAAAACATTTAAGTATTCATGTGCTACAACTGAATTGAGAACAATGATATACAAAGCATTTTTTTTTTCCACTAGGAAAACTCTGGAGCCTCTAACTGAAAGCAAATGACCTTTGGCTGCCACAGGTCTACACTAGTTGCAAAGCAGATTATACCTTTGTTCAACACTAAAACTGTGCTGTCTTGGATAGCTCCAGCAATCCTTAACAGAAATTTAAATAAAGAAACTGTGGGAGGGGTGTTGTGGAAGGGGAGAGTAAGTGCTTTTTTACGAAAGTTAAATTAAGAAGCTGTAAAAGAAAAAAAAAAAGTACATAAGAATGAAACAAAAATAAGTAGATATACTTTCTTGACATTAGATGTAGATATTGCAAATGACATTTACAAGGGTTTAATCAATGTAAGATTGATGTTGTCTGAATATCTTATAAAGCACCTAGGTATCAAAAAATAAACACAAAAAATATAATAAAACTCCACACACCCAATAATCTCCATTAATGTTTCCATTCTGCCAAGCAATCACACAGTAGGTGCTCAGTAAGAATTTTAAGAAGGACACGTTTATTTACTCTATAGGAAACAAATATAAACTTTATCTAAAGTAAGTGTTATTTAGAATGAAAAAAAGAATGAAATAGCACTAGAGAACTTAAGGCACATAAACAAATTCAGATGCAGTTATTCTGAAAACATTAAAACAAATTATTTTCTTTGGAACAATATATAAAATAAGTTATGACTTGTTTTTTGAACTTATTTATGATGATCATCTTTAGCACTAGGTAAATTTACTACCTAAGGCAATCACACAAATGTAAAACATTCATATACAACACTAAAAAATGTTTAAAGTATGTTGAAACTGTCTCTGGAATTAGCAGTTCACACTCCTGGCTCAAATGGTTTCTGGTGCCTAGCATTAGATGTGACAATAAGTATAGCTAGCTAGTCAAACCTACTGCCTTAAAGGTCAACCAAATTGCCCATTCTGATTACTTGGTATGATCAGTTTATTTATGTAACTACAAAGAATAATGGAGTGAGGTGATGTAAACCTGGCTTTCAATATGATACACAACAAATTCTAAGAAGGCCAAAACTATGTTGAGGTTAACTGGTGTTTTAAGTTTACTAAAATCAAGGCAGTCCATAGGAAGCCTTTAAGAGACATTCTTACCACTTGGCACCACATAAACAGCAACCTCTGCTCTTTGAAAATACAGTTTGAAGTAGATGTCATCTTTTCCACACACAAATCTCCAGACATAAAAGGCACACAAACAATTTAACCCCTCTCTTTTCATGTATGGATTCTCATAGCAATTAAAAAAAATCTATTGCCATATTCAGACAACAGGAAAAAAAAACAAAACCTGGTTTGTAACAGTGACAAAAGTAGTATAATTGAACCTTTGTCTTTCCTGAGTTTCAAAAAGGGTATTTGACAGTAGAGATACATGAACAATTCATATTCATGGAGAGAAAATGTATCAGTTCCAAAACATTTTCATCTTCCTAAATGTAAAAGAATGAATGTTCAGCCACCGCCATGTGTGAAGCCCCTTTACCAAATCAAATGTACTCTAGAATCATGAATTGAAGGTTGCTTAGTTATGGCACTTTAAACACCCCCAACAGGCAAAAGTAACAAGTTAATACCCTCCCTGAGTATTTACATCGTCTTTTCTTAACACCTGGTTTAAATGGAGTAAATACCAATATTTCAGTCACCTAGAAAAGAAAGGTTACTGAAGATCCAATAAGCTACCATTTCATACCTGTGCAGTAAAGTCATTGGGAAGATTAGAGTGGAAAAGGAGAAATTTCTTCTGTGTAAAAATTAGACCACTTTGTAGCTCACTCACATAGAGGAAAACATGGAAAACAATTAAAGTTCATTAAAAAAAAACCTCCAAAAACAAAAACCAATTGTACTTTTCTGCTGTTCCACAAAGCATACCTTTGAATCCCCTTTCTAACTGATGTATCACAGCTGGTTTTAGCAAACTCATCTCTTTTGACCTTGTAAAAACTGAATGTATTATGTAATTCTGTCTGTATACAAGTCATCATTACTAATACTCATCATGCACTTTCAAATGTAAAAAAGTTCTAGAAATGCCCAAATTAAAAAAATCTTCTGGAACAGAATTTAATATGGTCAATTAATTTGTATTTTATGTGCTTTTTTTCTGATCATCACAGACTGCTAAAATTCTTGGTGTGTGTATATATGTGTGTACATAACCATCCTACCTATCTACATAAATATACATACATTCTAACCCAAAGGCTCATATGAATACCTATCAAAAGAAAAAGGTGTCAATTATATGATGATAGAATGAAACAAACTGGTTGATATATCCCTTTTGATATACTATTTATATGCCAAAATTCTTCTTTATTTTAGCTAGGCTAACACTATTATTTATTAAAAATTAGTAAACGAAGATAAATAATTTTTAAAAATTAAAGTATCAGTTGGGTAATTTAAAAAACAGTTAAATTTTCTAAGATTCAAGCTAAGTTCCTGGTGGATTTGAACATAAATTGCAATTACTTAATTTATGTAGTTTTCATTTATGTAGAGAAAAAATTAAACAATATTGGAATGAGGTCTGTATTTAGCCAAATATTGCTTTTTAGAATTTCATTTCAAATCTACTACAATAAACACATGGCTATTAAAATCAATGTATAGTAAAATGAAAGTATATAGTTGATACTTTTACAATAGACACAAATACTAGAATACAAAGTTATCTTGAGAAAGTCTTTTTTTATGTGAAGTTTCTGTATTTGTGAATGGGCATGATCTTACAAGTACATATGAAAATAACAACTATTATTTGTATAATCCTGAGCATTTACAAAACACTTTTTCATACATCATTTCATTTACTGTAAAGAATTTCTGAACTAAGTTCTATTAGCTACAAAAGTATAACACAGAAGATCTCTATTTTAAAATGAAAGTACATGTATCTCAACTGTCTTTCAACTAAAATGATAGAAGATTGTTTTCTGAACTGCTCTGATAGTTATCACAAAAAGATATATATTATTTCAAAATTCAGCGTTGAAAAATAAAAATCCCCCCCAAATGTGTAACTTTTAAAGAGTTTTCCTCAGAATTTAGATTCTAATTAAGAATTAAAACATTAACATTTAAAAAATATCTATCTGAAATCTCTGAATCATTCTAAGATGAGAAAAAGTTTTTTTTTTTTTTTTTTAACCAATGTTAGGTTTCTGATTACAAAAATTTTAGTTTTTAACAGAAATCTAGTAACACCACCACATATTTGCATCATCCCACCTATGATAAGGAATATATAATTCTAATGTGAAAGACAATAGCAACCAGGAAGTCAGAGCAAGCTATTTAGAACATCCATCAAATGCTATGAATTTTATCTGTCCACCCAGAATCATAAATAATCATTTTTGCTGTAGTTCCTGCCATATCCATCTATTTGCCTTTGAAAAAATTTTACATTCCTCTCTGAAAACTGGTAAGCTTTATTTATTTATTTATTTATTTTTTGAGTTAGAGTCTCACTCTGTCGCCCAGACTGAGTACAGTGGCCGCTCCCAGCCACCACAGTCTCGACCTGCTGGGCTCCGGCGATCCTTCCGCCTCAGCCTTCCAAGTAGTCAGAACTACAGGCATGCGCTACCACGCCCGACTGATTTTTTGATTTATTGTAGAGATGAGGTCTTGCTGCCCAGGCGGGTCTCGAACCCGCGGGCTCAGGCAATCCACTCACCTCAGCCTCCCAAAGGCGCGGGATTACAGGCTGAGCCACGGAGCCCGGCTAAACTGGTAAGCTTTATAAATGAGAGTTCAGAAATCTAGACAAAAGCAGTTTGTTGTACAGAAGTTTGAAAGCGTTGATCAATATTATACACAATGGGTACCAACTGAAAGACTTATCTTAGAAATGGGAACTACTGCTAAGGTGTCTCAGACTGCTAATTTTAAAAGAAAAATGGACCCGCTGAGATAGATGGTCCCTGCTTTATTCGGTTAAAGGAGCCTTAACAGTAGAGACTCTCAGGATTTTTAGCTGTTCACAAGAAAGTAGGATAACCAAGGAAGAGGTTCTCACCCAAAACACCATATTAATGAGGCCAAACCCCACTGGGCTGGGGGAGAAAACCTGTTCTTGTTTTTCACAGGACAATATTGCAAAATCAATTTAACTCCTTTGTTAGGTTCAAGAAAAGGAACTTCTTTGGAGGATTTAGAGATAATGCATAAAAACTTTGAAAGCTACAGTGGGTCATTTTTCCTCAGTAGTTATGTAATTTTTTTCTAGGAATTAACATGTAATTTTAATCCCCCTTGTAGGGGCACTTACTTTTGTATATCTCATCTAACCCCCCCCAAAACACACTTAATGTAGGACAGCAATTCTAAGAATGAAATCATGATAGTTCAGTATTTTATGATTCTTGAATTGTTGTCATTATATTTTTATTAATTACAGAAAAAAATCCTTCAATAAAATTAATCAATTTGGATATACTTTGTCAGTGACAAAATTTTAAAAAATTGATTATTTTTCTTAGAATGCATTCTAAGTATTCTAAGCATTAAGTATTCAACCTAAATGAAGCCTCAAGTCATACAATTTTCTCTACATATATATATGACAAAATGAGGAATATACAGTCTTGCAGGTAAACATACAGGAAGAAGAGATCATTCACAAGTAACTAAAAGGTACTGCAGACAGATATTATTTCCTACTCCACGTAGGCTTCTTACAAATACTTACAAAAGGTACACTCTCATAGACCAAGCAACAACCAACATTATCTTTAATCCAAAAAAAATTTTTTTTCAATTATAGGAAAGGCTTCATTATAGTTTGAAAGATTAATATTTTCAAGAGAAAGGCACCAAATCATTATTTTCAGTTTTTTTTTTTTTGTGCATATGGCACAAAGAAAATCTGTCAAGTTCCCACTCTGGAGTTTTTACAACCTCTCATCTTGGATCTGTGTGGCTTCTTGGGTGAGGTATCCTGGCTTCAGAGTTTAAAGCATTTCTCATTGTATCTATGAATAGTCACACAGCCATGATAGGACACTGGCCGGGGCATTGCAGCTACCCCTGTGATGATACTTGTTGCAGGATCGTAACAGAGAATAGTGTCTGTGGCTTCTCCATTTTCCCGTCTTCCACCCAGGATATATATTTTACCATTACACACAGACATACCACAGTTTTCCTGTTTAACAAAATACATTTAAAAAAAAGAATTAACTATTGAAAATAAGGAATTTTGGTAACAAACAGCAAAGTAAAACTTTAACAGCCAAAAAAAAGAGACATGACATAAGCTTATCTCCCTTTTGCTCAACTCCTGTGTGTGAGTGCTGGATAATTCTGCATGGATGAAGTGAGTGTTAAGATAGATTATATATTAGTAACTGGGGCCAAGGTGAGGAAGGAAGGGAGCAGTGTGGTAGACTGGCAGAAGGGTTTTAACGTAACAGTAGTTAAACAAAAACATCTTTGAAGAGCATGGTTTGCTTCTCCTATTAAAGGAAGGTTCTTTTTTGTTTGTCTGTTTGTTGTTTTTTTTTTGAGTTGGAGTCTCACTCAGTCACCCAGACTGGAGTGCAGTGGCCGCT